GAATCAGCCTCAGCTCTCCTTACTGCTTTATTGTCTTTCTAATCCTTCTTGTGATGTTATTGCGTGCTCTACCTGCTTACACAGCGTGCCTCTAGAAGAGCAAAAAATATCATCATCTTTGAGTTTACAGAAAATTGTGCTAATGAGACAATCAGAAAAGGAGTATTGGAAGATGGATATCTTACCTCTCCATGATATGTTTACTGATTCCCACCCAAGAGTACTGACAGCTCCTTTTTCTGAATTCTTAGAGGTCTTTTAGTCAGCAACACACAATTTAGTGAAAACTGCTAAGCTTCCTCCTTTTCCCCAAGATAACCGGTTTTTAAGGCACTAAGAGATAGAAGACTTGGCCCAGTCTTCTGAGCTTTTCTTTTCCAAAATCAATTATGCTCTCAAAAGTTATGGAGGAGAGCTTCCTTTCATAAGGGATTGTTGGGAATTTAGTACGATTAGCTCACAAAGGAGCGATGCCACTTTTAACTCATGGCATAGTCCCTCCCGGAAATCCCCAATCAGTCGAAATACCCCAATGTTTAACAGTTAATGATATGCTTTATTGTTTTCTAAGCTTGCAGAAAGGCAAACGACTTGTTCCCTCAGCTAAGTTGTAAACAATTCAAGAGGGGAGAAAGCAGAGGCCGTAGCCAGTCCATAAATGTTACCTGCTTGGTTGACTCAGTAGGTTTCAAAATTCTATTGAATTTAATCATATTGCTCAATATCTTTTGGTCTGCAATCTAGTAACTCTAATCTATTAATGGTGTATTGTCCACTTTTTTACTTATATTGATCTTTTTCGAATATCTAATGATTCTAGTCTACCATTCCCTACTTGCCCTACCTCGCCTTAGGAGGATTTTCATACTAAATTGCCTCAAAAAAGGAAGAAAATATTGTGATTTGAAAGATAGGAAATTTCATTATACTAGAGTTTCTAATATCATAACGTCAGAGCTGCAGTTAAAGAACAGATGGTTAAAATAAACCATCAAGTACCTACTGTGTGCTGTAGTCTTGGACTGGTGTGGAAATGTTAGCTGGCATTTCAAGCTACATTATTGATTGGGAGCTCTCTCAAAGACTGAAACTTTGTATTTGCTGCCAGAGTCCAGAAATCACAATATATAACCATGCTCAGAGTCACCATGATTCCAGTGGGTCCAGTGAGAAGCAGAAAGGCAAGCCAAAGGAAAAGGAGGAAGGTAGGAATTTGGATTGAGTCCATGACCAATCTAAAATAAGCAAACCTACCTTTGGAGATAGTGAAATCCTTAGCATCATATTGGAAATATCTTCAGAATGTTTCAGAACACAAAGTAAATGAAATTCTGACTTTAAGTGGACTGAAACAGCAGGAGTGCATTGAGGAGTGAAGGCTGCCAGACTTTAGGATTTATGGATCAGTAAATTAAGGAGAATAATGGGGAGTTGCCAGCTCTTTATTTTTTCTCCGTTTTGCTAGCACTATTCCCCTACTAAGATTCTCTTGGACAATAAGTTTCCCACATTAGGTCTAAGCCGTAATAGAGATTATTTAAACAAGGAACGAAGTAACATTTCAAAAGATGCGGAAAGAAAACTTCATTATCACCATGTGGAAATTACTGATTGGCATCTCTCTTGCACAAGACCCCAGTTCTTTTCAGCCCTAAGGCTCCCAGGATCAGCTTCTGCCTGGGGACCACAGCCAGCATGAGCAGGAGACTGTGGGGAGAGCCACCTCTGTGACTGGCACAGTCCAGTTACAGTATTCCTCTTCTATGCACAGGCTGGTGCTCTTCTGTTGTCTGCAAGCCTTAACTCCAACCCATACTCAGATTCCTCCCTGACTTATACTGTGCCCCCTTGAGACTCGTACAAGTACAAGAAAAAGTGTTTCACCAGAGCTGGTAATATAATAGATTGTGGTTGCTACCTTTTTTTTTTTTTTGATTTCTTTTATTATGGAAAAATTCATGCATATCCAAAAGTATAGCATGTATAATGAACCATTATATACTATCTCCCAGCTTCAAAAATTATGAGCTAATGGCCAATCTTGTTTTTCCTATAACTCCAGCCATTTCCCCTACCCTAGATAATTGTGAAGCAAATCCCCAAAATAGTATTTCATTTATAAGCATCTCAGTGTATATCTCTAAAAGCTATGGATGCTTAACAAAAAGTAACTAAAGTATTATTAACACACTTTAAAATATTAATGTCATCAAATATGTAGTCAATACTTAATTTTATTGTTTCACAATGTACTTTTGTGTATTCATTTACATATTTGTGGATGTACATATTATAGTTTATTCTATTCAGGATCCAAAAGGGTCTGACTTTTTTCCCACTATTTTATCATCATCAGGATTTTCATGATTGCATCCGTATAGTTTTATTTTACATGTTTGTTTCTTGATTTTCCTGTAAATTGAGCATTGATCCTAAGGCTGATCATTTGCGGATTTTGTTTTTTTGGTGGTGGTGGCTGTTTTTTGGCAGGAACATTTCATGGGTCGTGTTGTGTGCTTCCATCAAGAAATACGTAATATCTGGTTCTCTCTCTCTCTTATTCATACAGTCTTGCACCACATAATGACATTTCGGTCAAGCACAGTCCATGTATATGACGGCAGGTCCAAAGATTAGTACCAGAGAGCCTAGCTGTGTAGTAGGCTATACCATATAGAGTAAGTACACTCTGTGATGTTCACATAACCACGAAGCACCTAACAATGCATTTCTCAAAACATATCCAGGTTGTTAAGTGACACATGACTACACATATTTTTATTTAAACAGTCATCGAATACTTCGTCTAGAGCCATTATCTCATTGAGAGTGCTCTTATTTTCTTATTTTTCTTCTTACAAAGATGCAAGCAAATGTTACCCAAGACCTGGTTGCTGGAGCATTTTTAAGTTTTCCTGTTGTTGTCATTATTTGGGGTCATATGCCAAGCTCTTTAGGAATTGTCCACTGCTCTGTAAAAGTGTGACCTCAAGTCTCTCTTGCACAGCAAGCAGGGATGATAACAAACATCCATCATCTAAAATCATCATCATTTCATAAAGTGAGAGGTATTTCAACAGCAGAAATAGGAAGAATTTAATTGAAGATTAAAAGACAGAATTTTAAATTAAATACATATATCTTTCTGGAAATGGACCAGAATGTTGGAACCATTGTTCAGCACCATAGCATTGATAAACATCTGCTAGAAGATAATGTGAAAATTTGTCTCACCAAATTGAAAGGGTAGCTCAACTTTATCTTTCAGAGTATCATTAATCTATGATGTATTCCAAATCACTATATGCAATAAAAATTATTAAAAGCTAATCTTTAAGTCAATAAACATGTATTGAGCACCAATTCTATATCACGTACTCAATCAGGCACTTTGAATATAAAATACACTATAATACAAGTGTAACGAAGATGAATCCAAAATGCGGAGGGAGACAATATGATATAACAAGAAGACATTTAGAACCTGCGTTATTAGTTCTTGCTCTGTCTCCAAGGAATCTCATGTCCCTGGACATTTAGTATCCTGTGAATGGGTGTGAAAAGGTGTATTTGTCTTTCTCACAAGCTTATTTTGAAAACTAAGTAAAATAGTGAAAATTATCTGAAGAATCAAAGATAACTATAAAATATAAGAAACTACGATAATGTTTGGAACTCAATCTGTGGTATCTCATAGTATGTACTCTCACTGTAATAGACAATGTGTTTTTCTTCCTTAAAAGCTTCAAAATGGAATTCTTTACACTGATTTATTGAAGCAATCTTTGAAAGTATCCCTAGCGTCACCATCTACCCATTTCCTTTTGCTGATAAGGAAACAGTCCTCTGAATGTGAAGTGACTTATATAACTGGTTAGTGGTTGAGCCTCCTGATCTCCAGTTCTGTGCTCTCCCCACTGCTCCACACTGTCTAACTAAGGTTTCTTTCTCGTTAGGAGCTATGCCCGTGTGTAGTGCATTTTAATCTCTCAGGGTATTAAGGTTTGGTAGGAGAGCAGCCTGGTTTTGGAGAGCAGAGGTGAGCTGGATACAAAGGGCAGGTGTCCAGGAGGCTCTCGAGGATTCTCTCTCTGCTAATCACTTGTTCTGCTTGCCCTTCTGCTCCTAGCCCTGCTGGCCCTTCTCTTCTCCTTTTGCCCTCTCTGATCCCCATTCTCCTGTCCTCTTGACACCAGCCTGATGAGACCATCAGTGTTTTAATGGTGGCTTTGTGTGCTATTGACCTTGACCAATCAATTTGACCTTGTTTTACCAATTCACACTCCTTGAAGAGAAGGAATAACACAAACTGAAATGCTTGAATTCAGTTCAGCTGTTTTAGCTGTGTTTATAGTATGTTAAAAATTCAAATTTGAATGCCTTTATGCTAGACCTGCATGTTCTAATTTGCTTTACACTCCACCATTGAATTATACCAGCCTCTTCTACACATTTCTCAGACGTGCCTGGCCCCTGAAAGTATTTGAGATGGCTACTGGTGGACTAACATCTTCCTGACAGACAGGCAGATCTGGGTTCCTTTGGGTAGAGCACTCTAATTTTCAGCTTACTATGAATCTCTTTTAAATCCAAAGCATTGCCTGTAGCATCTCTCTCATTGGTTAGAGTTTAGTACCGATGCAGCCAAAATTGTAGTGTTCTGTGCTCAATGATGAGTCTTAGGGGGCTCAAGTGAGAGTGTGGGATCAGGGCAGCCCAGAGGGGAAAACAGTTCAAAGCAACCTAGTTAAAATTTATTGTTGTGTGTACTTGAGAATCCTGAAGCAATGATTTGTCATTAGCACCTTGCTCTTTTGGCAGAAATGCCTAAGTTAGCATAAGAACTAGTAATATTTGGTTCAACACAGAAGGGTGGCCTTATCTTATTTGTCAAAGGACTCTCCTGGATGTGGCACTGCCTATAGAAAGTGCAAGGTCTTGCAACAGTGTACTTTCCCTTTGCCCCAACATAATTTTCACTCAAGTCCTCTTCAATACAGGTTGCCAACTTGGCCTGTTCCATCTCCAACAATGAGGAAGGGGTAAAATTAGTCCGGATGGCAGCCACCCAGATTGACAGCCTGTGCCCCCAGGTAAGCCTCATTTACTTTGTTTCATGAGCCCATAGATGACTTGCTATTCAGGAGCTTCTGCACTCCAGCCCTCATGTCACTCCTTTCCTTGTCCTCTTTCCTCTCACTGTAAAGTGTTACCCATCATTCGTGGGCTGTTTCAAATTCTACCTTTCTCAAAATAACCTTCTAACTATTCCAGCCTCTTTAAAATTACTTTGGCAGTTATTGCATTTGCCACTCATATTGATTTGTTCTATTTGTTTGGGGCTGTTATTTAAACATCCCTATCTATTTACCTTGTGTCAACAACTAAATTATAAGCTTGCACATGTAGAACAAGAGTTATATTTTTGCCACATCTGTCCTAAGTAAATAGGACTTATTCAGTAAACACTTTCTAAAACCTAAGGCTAATTACTATATCTTAAAAAAAGAAAACAAAACAAATACTGATGGTAGTTGATAATCTACATCATCTTTCATGTTTTTGATTGTCCTTCTGAACACTGAGAACCTGCTTATCTGTAGAAGTTATAGGGTCCAAGGTTTCAACATGGTCTTTGTCCTGCTTGTTACTCTTTTGAAGAGTGTGGTCAATATGCCCCTGGATTGTTTCTAACAAATAGGTCATCAATGCCGCTCTCACGCTGGCTGCTCGACCACAGAGCAAAGTTGCTCAGGACAACATGGACGTCTTCAAAGACCAGTGGGAGAAGCAGGTCCGAGTGCTGACAGAGGCTGTGGATGACATCACCTCAGTGGATGACTTCCTTTCTGTCTCAGGTAATCACGAACAGGCCCCTTACAAGGCAGCTGAAGGAGAACAGGATGAGATAAGGAATATCTTACAAATGTCATGGGTCTGTGTTTCAAGTACTCTTCTTGGCCCTTTGAGCTTTCAATCATCTCTGCAAATGTGAATGTAACACCCTCTTGAAAATTCTTCTTTGATGCGCACCTTATTTCAAGTCACAGAGTCAAAGTATTAGGAGGGAAAAACACAAGTTGTGATAAAGATGTCGGAAATGTGAACAGATTCTTTAAGGAGACTTAGGTTCCTTTTCAGTTCCTGGAGTTTTTTAAGAACGACGGCCTTTGATGCATCTGAGTCACCCATCTGAAAAAGGGTATGGGGATGTGAGATTGGTTAATCCCCATGGTTTATATTTCAAATAAACATGTATTGAGCACCATCAAAAAAGTCATCAGCTATTCCAATCTGGCTCTGTTCAGTAAGTCATTTTTCTAAGAGGTGAAGTTACCCAGTTTTGTGATAAGCTAGGTAAAAATATTAGCCACAGAATAAAACTATTATGAGGCACTTGGGAGATGTTGAGGTTTGGGCACTTGTCTTTGAGATTGTATAAGGAAGTAAGTGAAAGCAAATAAAACTAGTCATTGCTTGAAATTGTAACTTTGTTCTTTGTAAATGAAGACAGACTGAAGGATGTTAATGCATTTGAATAACCATATAGTTGATTTGACCTTTAACAGGACTTATTAATGCTTTTTCAAAACTGGGCTACCAGCCAGCAAATGGGCCTTTTTCCAAACACATTTGGCCCAGTTGACCTAGAAGAGACTCTGTGGGAGGTGTGGGGGAAGAGGTCGCTGGAAACATCAGCCTTCTTTGTGAGGCATTAAGATAACCAAGTAATCCTTGAAAATTCAAACTGACCAGATGTTGACTCTGCCCACAGGTGTGTGGAACTGACACCTGCCAACTCGGGTATGACCTATCCTTGACTGGGACCTGCTCGTTCTTGGCCAACTGAGGCCTTAGAGGGAGGTGTCGCAGCACTGCTGGTAGGATGCAGGCAGACAAGGCCTCTGACTATAACGGTGTGGAAAAGATTTCTGGGAAAGGCTAATTGTATTTGGAAATTTTTTCTAGGTGTAGCCTTTCCTTTTCATGAAAAACAGACAGTGAATTCCCACTGGGGGCTTATGTTAAAGCCTTGTCTGAGAGCAGCATAGTCAAGTCTGGATAATCAAAAAACCAACTTTTAAACCATGGAGGGCAAGAAAAGGCAGATGGGAAGACGTGTGAACGTGTGCTCAGTGTCTATACTTTGCCTAACTCTCTGCTGTTTGCTTGAATTTTCGCCAAAATTGTATAAAGTAGGTATTAATATTCTGAGTCTTCCTTTGAGAAAACTAAGTTACTGAGAGAGTAGGTAACTGGGAAGACATGGTATTAAAATCCAGATTATCCTCATTTCAGAAGCTGTATAGTTTACAGTAAGTCAACATAGAAGGGAAATTGCCTTTGGTGCTTCCAGCTTTCACTGCAGTTCCCTTCTCCCACCTCTGGTGTCTTCATTCCGCTCTCTAATCCCTTTCAGAAACCTGTCTTATTTTCCATCCCCAAGGTGCTTTGTTTTTGAGGACTTGTCAAAGCAGCTATTCATTTAAACATACCCATATCTAGGAGTTGGCAGATAAAGAACTCAATATGTTGCTATTTATTTTTGCTTTACTGATTGATGGCTGAGTCCTAACAATGTAAAAGGCATCTAAGAAATGCATCCCTCTTAAGGTGCTTAGAAATTATTTGGGCAGCAGGGAATAGAATGACAGCCACCACTACTGGGCATCTTTCTAGTATCTAGTCGGTCTTTGCCAGGATGACTACAGGGGTCCCCATAAAGGGACAGGGGGACTCTTCAACCAGCCTCAAATCTCACACAGTAATCTTGATAGCCTGAAATCTTACTCTACTTCCCCTTCTATCTACAAATGAGGAGAAAATACCCATACACTACCTTTTTCATAAAGGAATCATTTCAGAACTTAAAACTTTCCCAACTTATCCTCTTCTTTAAATGCATGTACAAAATTTTCTGAGGGTGGGGAAAAGAAAGGTGAGGAGGTCTTATCTCAGATTGTTTCAAGAGCATGAAGCTTTTCTTAATTTTCTTCTGCCAGCTCTGCCTCTTTGCCACCTTTCTCCTGCCATTCCTTTGTGCATCTCATTATTGCCGGCAACAAGAAAAGGCTTTGGCTTCTGCTGATAATGCTGTGCGGTCCAACCCCAGTGGTACAAGTGCCGCGGCATGCCTTGACAGGAAAATGAACAGGCGCTGTCAAGAATCCAGCCTTGGCAGGGCCTGCTGGAGCCTGCCTTTGGAGTTGACAATCGGAGGCAGCAGGCACCTTTCCACAGACTGGCTTTACAAATAATGACACAGCCCACTCTCTCCTGCTGGTCGGCTGTGGATACAACCCAATAGTTGGGGAATCTACTTCCTACCTCCAGTTTGAGCTGAAGCCAAAACATTTGCATCAGTAAATTGCAAGTTTGGCCCAGGAGAAATTTTCGAATGGCTTTAATGGCATTTTATGTATTAGTTTCTTTTTAAGGGAATATCTATTCTGGCAGAAAACTCTATTTAAAAAACAACAAAGAAAGATCTTTGTTTTTAAAAGACTATAGTTTTTTTTCATGCTACCTGAACTTGTATGTCTGAGTACTTAATTTATTCATATGAAATGCAACAAGTTTGGGGAGCAATGATGCTAGTTATTAAAATTACAGGAGCAAAACCAATTTTCACATGTGACCAGGGCTCATAAAAAAGTGGAATGGCTGTGTTAGAACACTTAAACTGTTCCCACTGGGTAAAATCTACAATTTTTAATAGTGTTTTAAAATGAGCATCTTGGCATAATGATCGTTTAACTCTTGGTTTGGCTCACAAAGTAGCAGGCATCTAAGATCTGAAAGAGCTATGAACTCGATCCCATAATGTCCAAGAGTTTTGTTTGCCTTTTCCTTCTTTTTTTCTTTTATTTAACTTTTACTCCAGTCTTGAGTTTCTTTCCTTTTAAAAATTCACACAGTGAACTTGGTTTTTGAATATTATAAACCTCACAGCTATAGTTTCTAAAATCAAGTAGCTTGGTCATCAGTGATTTTTATAGCAAAATTCCATCTTTTCTTAAATAATAAGGTTGCAAAAATTCAAGGAAGTTTATCACAAAATATGTTGCAGCCCAATGTTTTATAATATGTTTAAATACCGTGCTTCATATCTGGGTGTAACACCCAAAGTACCTGGGTAGTTTTTCCCAGCAATGGAATCATCTCTGGAATATGTATGTTATTATTACCTCTTTCTCTTCTATGTTTTTTTCTAGTTGGAACAGCATTCCTCTATCTTCTTACTTCATGAATTTTTTTCTCTTGAAAATACCATAGGATAAAAATATGTAATTGATTGTCTCTTTTCAGTTTACGTGTTTATTCAGTATTTCTTCTTTGATTGCCTGCTGTCAGAAATGCAAGTATGAATCAAGTATGGATTCTGCCTTCATAATTCACTGCTCTTCTTGATAGATCCTAGGCCAGTGTGCTTCCAAACCTGGGGGTCCCAGAACTAAGTTTGCAGGGCATAGGAGAGGAGAAGTTATTACAAGGGATTCAGGAATCCATATATACATCAAGTGTGTCTTTTGATCAGATAATATGGCTATATGAACAGGTACAGTTCTTTTTCAAATACATCATTGGTACTTAGCTTAATAAAATGCAAATCTATTTAAAAACATTCCAAATCATAGTAGCTTTTACATATATGCCATCCACCAATATAACTACTATTATGAGGGAATTGTGATTCATTTTTCCATAAAAGGCATACCCCTAACTGGGGAATGTTGGGAAATGCTGAGTAAACTATCTTAAGATTTCAAAAAAAAAGTCAATTAATAAATTATAAAATTATCAAAATTAATACATTTTTCACCCAACATGATTAACTTAACCATTGAACAAATTAGTTGATGATTTTACTAATTAAAAGCAATGTTTTTGATATCATGGATTTCTAGCCTCTCCAGCCTCCTTCACATTTGTATAGTTATATCTATAAAAGCATATTCTTTTTCTTGCCTCTTCATTAAATTAGTTGCATAATTCTAGTTTGAGAAATAGATTTTTAAAAAACACTTATCATTTCATTTTAATATATTGGGTCATGAATGAATCTGTTAGAGTTTTTAAAAATTTTTATTAACTCCAGAGATTATTGGCATCTAGGATAATTCACAGGTTCATTTCTGTTCTTCATTTAACTCCAAAATCCCATCTTTAAACTATGCACAGAAAAGCAATAGCTATGCCTATTCTTATGCTAGTATGTTATTCAAAGAAAATGGCTGGATGCATATTTTTGACATGAAGACCCTCCCAGTTGCCCACTTTCAGGGACCAGGGCACATTTTAATTGTCTGGAAGAATCCAGCAGGCAGTAAGGGAGACCTATTTGAATCAAACTTTTGTATTTAAAATTCTAAACCAAGTTTTGAGTAAACCTTTTTCTCAGGTGTCCTTTTAGATAAGTTTGCCTGATACAATTCAAGATCTCATAAAAGGGTGGTTTCCAGAAGTTCCTTAATCAAACTGAAAACTTTTTAAGTCTGTGTTTGCACAACTTTTTTTCTCTTTTACTCAGCAAAATATCAGCTTTCAGAAAGTACTACTTTTTGTAAGTTTAAGAATCTGAATATTAAAATTTCATTCCATTTCATTTTTTTCTGTTTTCGTAGAAGCATTTCATTTATTTTTCTATTTTAATTTCTATTTGAAATTAAAGAACTAGAGAGTGTAGCAATTTAAAATTTATGATGGTTCGAGTGAGGAAAGCACATTGTATGAGGTCAAAACAGGTGTTATTTTATGAAAAGAAAGTTAAACTTTGCGATTTTATGCCCAATGTGCTAAAAAAATAAATCTTCTCTGAGTGATTGGTTTAATGAAAGTAGAAGAGATCTAGGGTAGAGACTGGGATTAGCTGAGCACCCTCCCATCTCTCCGTCTTTGGGAATTTTAAAATCAGAACTAGCCCTAGAAACTTCTGAAAAAGGTAATCATTTATTTTAATCATTTATTAATTATTCATTGCATTTGGCAGTTATAATTTTTAAAAGGTTACCAGATTACTTAAGACTATTTCCAAACTTGTTCTATTTATCTATTTGGGATGTGTATGTGTGAGTATGTGTGTGCATTTTCAGCTTAAGTTCTTTTCTTTCCTCAAAGTACTAAACTTTTTTAGCATTTCTTTAGACTTCTATTTCTCAAGAATGTTCGAAGGACGTAATTACAGATCTCACATTGGACATAGGACATACAAAATTGCACACTTGCAAACTCTAAGGGACCAGATCGTGTGTTTTATCTGTGCTAGTCAAGAGTGAAGCCTCGCATCCTCCTGCCTGGATTCTATTTTGGGCAAAGGCAGGAGAGGGATCACTCACCTTGGCTCTAATCTGAGGGAACCAATCACAAGATGCACTGTATTTTAACTGCAGAAAACTCTACACTCATCTTCACCCAGTCAATTTTCCCATTGTATATACCTTGTACATGGCATGATATTAGAAGACTGGGTGATATTTGTTCATTCTATAGTTTCCCTCACATGTTGCCTTAAGAAAAATATGATTAAACAAACATGCACCCAAAGTGTGATTCTGATCACTTCTAGAAATGTTTCTGCTTGGTCAAGTTGACTTCATGTTAGCTGCCACAATCACTCCTAAAAGACCTTTTCATACAATAAATCTCAAACATTCAAACACAGAAAGGAATATTCTTTAAGTCAGTGGTCTTCAAAGTATGGTCCCCAAACCAGCAGCATTAGCATTACCTGGGAACTTGGTAGAAATGCAATTTCTTGGGCCCACCCCAGACCTAGTGAATCAGAAACCCTAGGAACAGGGCCCAGCAATTTATATGGTTCTACAAGTCCTCCTTCTGGTTGCTCAAGTTTGAGAACCACAATTGTGATTGTAAACTATGTCCTTTAAATATCGTTTCAGTGTTATTAGGCATATATTGAGGGGAAAGATGACGGTTCCTGATGGCTAATGAGTCTTAGATTGGTTAAGTGTCTGAGTGATGTGAAATCATATAAATGAGTATGTGTCCTCTCCACAGAAAATCATATATTGGAGGATGTGAACAAGTGTGTGATAGCCCTCCAAGAGGGAGATGTGGACACCCTGGACCGGACTGCGGGGGCCATCAGAGGCCGGGCGGCTCGAGTCATACACATCATCAATGCTGAAATGGAAAACTATGAAGCTGGTGTTTACACTGAGAAGGTGCTGGAAGCTACAAAATTGCTCTCTGAGACAGGTAAATATGGATATTAGATTCCACCAAAGTGTCAACGTTGTGTTTATTTTCCATATTGGAATAAATCTGTTTCATTGTTTTCTATTGGCCTTTAGGCTTCTAAATTATGCACAATCATAGAAGGGGCGCTCACTTCATTTACTGAGTTTGAGTTTGAATAACTTTAGCAGAACAATGATTTTATTGCTTTGTGTGTATATATTTATAGTTTTCTTATATAATCTCATTTGATTCTCAAAAGGACCTTCTGAAGTAGGCAGAGAAATTTTTCTTATCTCCAATTTCAAATACAAAAATGGAGGTTTGAATCAGTTAAGAGACAGAAAAATGGTTGCAAATCTAGAAAATAGTGGAGATGTGATTGGAGCTTGGAATCATGAACTTCAAAGCCATTTCTCCATCTATTTCTTGAGAAGGTAAGACCTTGAGGAAAAACTATGACAACCAGGGGAAAGCATGAAGGCTCTAGGTAGTGCCTGGATATGAAGTACTCAAGGAAAGGAGATGGTGACTGCTGAAAAAGGGATAGACTTTCCATATCTGCCCTGTGCCTCTAGGAAAGCCTTGCATGCCCTCCTTCAGGGGCAAGTGGCTGCCCACTGGGGAATCCCTGCTGTGTAAAACACACCTACTTTTGGGAGCCTGCCATAGCTCTCTGGTGCATTGGGATGGAAAAAAAGACTTTACTTCCACTGAGTCAGCACAACAACCCATAACTTTGAATAATTTTGACAAAGACTGGCCTATTTTTAGTAGTTTTTGCTTTTGACTAATGTCTATTGTCTTTAGACCCTTTCTGAAGTCCCTCATGCGTTGTGTATTTGTATATATGATGGTGGTGGAGTGAGAATAGAGAGAAAGTTCAGGGAAGGACAGGAGACAAAAGGATAGAAAAAGAGAATTTAACTCTATATTGGATGGAGTTATGAATATGTAATGATTTGGGTCCTGTGTATGCACATGAGGACCTCTTCTCAAACCCCAGCCAGAGAAGGACCTCTTCAATCTGTACATGGACTTTGGAAACCACTAGGATTTTTAAAAATAGATGTCTCTGAAAGGTCAGGTATAGAGTGTTCCAAGTTCTATATGATAAGACATGTCAGTAGAAATATGTTTCCTTCTACAGGGAAAGGTCATTTACAAGGACTTCTGCAGATATTTGTTAGTCTGGAATGGCACAGAAAAACAACAGATAAACAGAGACATTGGGTATTCTCTCTGAAGTATAAGTAGAAAAGGAATAGTGTAATTCACATAATAAAGAGCACATCCAGGGACTGTTGCTCTTGACAATCCTCATAGACTTAGAATTAGAAATAATAACAATAGCAATAATGATAATAAAATATATTTTAACTAGGTGAATTTCAGTACTGTTTTCTTTCAAGTAGGCTTGCCCTTTGCATTCAATAGAGCAACACAAATCAAGCCATACAGTATTTCTTTCCTCACTTAGAAGAATTAGAAATGGGCATTTTACTCTCCAGTTTAAAGAATTCTTTCTCAACCTTAAGGGGGCCCTCTCACATTTCTGGGGCTCTCAATTCCTTGCCCATGAGCTCTATTCCATTACACAGTCTTAGCATCAGGTGGTGTATCTGACACATAGCAGCATTCCCTTGGGTCTGACACTGGGTAAAGAGTAGCAGAGAAGAGTGGGAGACATGGAGACAGGACTCTCAGCTCACGCCTGCTCATGACTGCGTGGAATGATAATTGTAGCAGATGAAGGAAGCAGAGCATATTGCCAATTTGCATGTGACTTTGTGCACACAAAGAATTCAGGCATTGTTCAAGAGACTTTTTGGACTTTTTTTCCTTATTGTATCTTGGACTGCTTTACAGAACAGAAGGAGTGGTGCCCTTTGGGTCAAAATCTACTTACAGTCAAGGACAATGTGCTTAGCTGATGGAAATATTTTTACCAAATTTTCACCAAAGTCTTGAAATGTAAATAATTTTATGTTTGAATTTTGTTTTAGCTGAAAAAAAAAAAAAATAGAACAGAGCGATTGCATCCTGGATTGTTGTTACTAATCAAGATTTTCCTGTCATTGGTTCATTGTCAGAGCTTTTAAAATTATCATCTCAGCCCTTCCTTACAGTAATTGAATACTGTAGAGACTTAACTAAAGGCACCTTTCTGATTCTGATGTCCACATCTAATTCTTAATTGAACTGAGATGAGCAAAACATTTAAATTCTTTCTGTTTTTCAGGATACATTGAAGATAACTAGGAAAGTAACCAAGTAGAAGAGATTGGAATAGTTTATACACAACTGTAGTAGAAAATACAAGAATATATGTCAAGGAAAAGTGGCTATTAGTGGGTTAAGAACTAGAATATACAAGGTATATAAATTATTTGCTTCTGTCCCAATTGTTCTTCTCTTTCCTAAACAGGAACAATATTGTTTCTTTATGAGTAATTATAGAGGTTGTCAAAGAAATGGAAGCAAAAACATTAATTGTTAACTCACTGATTGCTAATTAGAATTACTGGGAAATGTGCTAGACACACGAAGTTCAAAGAAGACCATCAATCAGTTCTGTGTTTATGGTTGTGCAGAGTTTTGTTGGTTATGTATATTGTCTAAAATGAATTAGTTCCCTCTGGTCAGTGTCTGGCTGTGCTAAGGAGATATATAGCCTCAAAATAAAATCTCCTATGCATATCACTAATTCCCAAGTATCTACCTTTGGGCTGACATTATGATCCTGATTCTTAAAAAATCTTAAAGCCACATTGAGTTGGTCATGTTTTTAATATGAGCTTATCAGACTTTGTCCTGAGAGTACATTTTACTTTGAGGATAGGACACAGGGGCAGTGGGCAAGGAGGGGAAGGTACTAAGAAGAAGAATGAAGAAAAAAAAAAAGAGTCCGGGACATGGAAGACAAAATGTCATATTTTCTTTTGCCTTGACATAACCTACCAAGTTCTGCTGAGTTTTGTATCTGAGTTGTTAGATTCAAGACACTCAGGCAGAAGTTCTCAACCTCTGTACTATCAACATTTTAATATGAGTAATTCGTTCTTGGGGGAGAGGAGCTGTTCCCTGCATTTTGGATGCTTAGCAGCATCCCTGGCCTCCACCCACTAGCTGCTCAGAGGACCTCCTCCTTCCCCCACCCCAAGTTGTGACAACCAAAAGTGTTTCCAGACATTGCCAGATGTCCTTGAGGGGTGGGCAAAATAACCTCCATTGAAAATAACTGTCCAAAAGGGAAAAAATATTCCGAAATAAGGGAAAGTTTAAACAAGGCACAATGGAGCCTGTGTACTATGGCCATAGGGTGTGGTGAAGGGAAGGGGCTGAAGGGAGTGGGCGTGAGTTTATTACAAAGAAGAATCTAAAAAAGGGAAGAATGTTCAAAAAGTCTTCACTAGAGGAGACTTTGTGGTTAAATGGGTTTGCAAACACAAGCCAGCCCCTCTTTAGACATGTAAATGATGCAAGGGTGGGGCTCTGTAGAGAGACTTCCACTTTACCACCTGACAACCTTCCCTGAGTGGCTAGAAAGTGAGAGAGATTCAAAGGCTGACCAGTCAGTCTGTAGTTTATTATCTATGAATTAGTTGACTCCCTCAGTAAAGATTGTGATGCAAGTTTGTGGCAATGCGAACGAGATCAGGATGAGAGATCTCTGAGACTCTGCAGCAGGTCCTTCTTCAGAGCAGATAAAAAAAAAAAACGAGAAATAGAAAAAGTACTTTTAATGAGGATTTTATGTTATTGAGCACTCCATATGTGAGATTAAAATTCCATTATTTTGGAGAATATGTGGGCCAAACAAATGGTATATTTTTTTTTTTTCATTAAGGCTTTGTTGTTTTCCATTTATTTATTTATTTTTGAGGAAGATTAGCCCTGAGCTAACATCAACCACCAATCCTCCTCTTTTTACTAAGGGAGATTGGCCCTGAGCTAACATCCATGCCCATCTTCCTCTATTTTATATATAGGACACCTGCCACAGCATGGCTTGATGAGCAGTACGTAGGTCCACACCTGGGATCCTAACTGGCGAACCCCCTGCTGCTGAAGGAGAGCAGGCAAACTTAACTGCTATGCCACCAGGCTGGCCCCAAGACTTTATTTTTTTAGGACAGTTGAATGTTCACAGCAAAATTGAGGGGAGGGTACAGAGATTTCTCATATACTCCTTGACTCCACACATTCATAGCATCCCCCATTATCAACATCCCCCATCAGAGTGGTACATTTGTTACAGTTGACGAACCTCCATTGACACATCACTGTTGCCCAAAGTTCATAGTTTGCATTAGGATTCACTCTTGGTGGTATACATTCTACTCGTATGGGCTAATGTATAATAACATGTATCCATCATTATTGTATCATACAGTGTAGTTTTCACTGCCCTAAAAATCCTCTGTGCTCCATCTATTCATCCCTCTCCCCCTCCAAACACCTTGGCAACCACTGATCTTTTTACTATCTCCATAGTTTTGCCATTTCTAGAATGTCATATAGTTGGAATTATAAAGTATGTAGCCTTTTCAAACTGGCTTCTTTCCCTTAGTAGTCATGGTATTATTTTTATATTCATGCTTCTATAAGGTAAAGTTTACATAAAAATGAGATTTTTTTAAACATTATATATTTTGCCTAGAAAATATAAGAGGATCAGCAAATTGAAAGCACTCAAACTGGAAATAGTAATGAGGGGTACCATTGCATCAGTACAATGTAGTAGAATGAATCCAGGTTAAGAATCAGAACTCATTCCTTGACTTCTACCAACTAATTGTGACCTTACACAAATTTATTAATGCCTCTGGGCCTCAGCTTCTCATGTATTGCCTAGCTTTTTGTCATCCAAGGATGGTCAATATTACTGATCTTAGACTATATGTGTCACTGTGTCCTGGTTTCTTGGTGACTTGACTGCACTCAACATGAAAAATTGTTCCCTCTGAATCTTCTATATAAACCCTCAGCTCTATCTGAACAGGTGTATTCATTATTCC